GTATTATACAAATAATTTTGATTAGATAATTATTATGATTTCGCATTAAAATGTTTATTTTATCATTTATTATACATATAGAACAGTTTAAAGACTAGTTTGCCAAACATCCACTGAACCTTAACGGAATAATTTAATGTCATATCGAAGTCGATCAGGTATATAATTAAATTATTAAAACCGAATTCCTTTATAGTGTGCATTGCTGATTTCTCGTCGAAAATAAATTTGTATTTACTAATAGATAATAATAAATTAGAAGTTGTACTTTTACCAATTAAAAATATTTTATGTAAGCTCGAGCACATCGTATTCGGTAAAAATAGTGAATATTGTATTCTATTTAACATATATATAAAGTTTATGTATCCACCGAGAATAAATATATTTAATCGAAAGTAAGTAGTAATTAATTGATTTAATAATCTCTGGTTTTATGTGTTCGGTGAAAGCTATATTTATATAGTAGGCGTTTAATTATAAGGTGCAATTTATACATCCAACTTTGGATTGTACTGTGTGTGTATAATATAACGTGGACCAAAATTGCACAACATTTTTTTGTGTCTCGATTAGGTCAAAAGTATAAAATTTGTACTCGAAAATACTTGCAACTTGCAGGCTTGATATGATATAATAACATAACAATAATATATAGTTATTAGAAAAAGAGCAGGGTATGGTATACCTATGCTTAAAAGGTTTTCAAAACTTAGCCGCTCTCCGATACTGCTTTGTACGCATTTTGTAGGGATTTTGCTGACATTAATAATAATTAATCAATAACTAAACACACAAGTTTTACTTATTGTAAGGGCCTCTTATCAAAATTGAATTATTCAAATACTACCTACTCAAACCACATCAACACTTATCTTGGTTTATTCGCATCCGGTTACGCACGGATGGGTATAACGCGAAACACGGTCGTTGCCCTAGCTGTAAAAACTTTGATAATATTATATAGGTACTCAATATTATAAAGCTAAGAAATTTGTATTTTTGAACTTGATGTTCTTATAAACTAGGTACTTAACAATTAAATTTAAGTCAATAGATTCCTTATCAATTAACTTGTGGGTATTGCAAGCTCATTTTCAAACCATATTATATATCTTACTGTGGCGCAGGTAAAATGAATATGTAAATATTGACTTTAAGTCAATAAACTTATATTAACTTAACTAATATTTAAGAATTCCAAAAATCAGATATCGAATAACTGCATAATTGAAGAAAAGAAGGGAGCGAGCACGCTTAGGGAATCACCCTACACATTATATTACAAATATATCTACAAGGTAAATTTAAATTGAATTAATTCATTACTGCTAGATGTACTTTTCTGTCTTAGAACTTAGGAAGATTGACATAGCACACATTTTTATCCAACGCTCACGCAAGCACAAGGTAGGTACAGTATAATAAACAACGAATAAGGGCAAACGAAAAGTCTTAAATCAATATTTCATCACGTATTATATTGTATACATAATAATATTATTCAATGCAGTCATTAGTATAACCTACAATAGTATTATATACTGTAATCGAATGGAAAAATGTAATTTGCAAAGTAAACCATTATTATTATATTGATGCAATAATATTTCTCCGTCTTATAACTTGTACACTGTTGTACAGTTAACTAAACATATAATAATATACACACACACGAACATATTATATTATGTAAATTCATATTTCTAGTTTGACAGAAAAATGACAGTTCTATATAATATATATATATATGTATTATGTATAATATAAATTACAGACTCTAAGCTCTGGAAAAACTAAATAATATAATATGTATTATTGTATTACTTATAATTGTATACGTATTGTGTTTGTATTTTTTATTTGTATCCTGTATTAATATATAAAATAAAATGTATTAAGTTCTTTTGAAATTACTTATTGTAATAATTTTTATCTTAAACTGATACTGAATAAACATAATAAATATTAACTATAAAATGCTTAAGTATATTATAAATATTGTTGTTTTTATATGCATATAACTATAAATATTAAACAGTGTTATATTTGAACATGAGAAATATGATAACCTTAATTTATCTTACTTAATTTATTTAATGTTTATTAAACCATAAATATTTAACTGTTAAATATACGTTTAATATTTAAAACTAAAAAATTGTTATAGGAATATAATACATCCTTGGAATATAACTCCTTGGAACGCCTCCATACAAACCCGTCTAGAACGAAATGAGAAAATTAAATATAATTTAAGTAAAATACTAAAATATTATCTGATATTATTGAATGTGATTAAAAGAAAAAAAGAATGAAAACCCATTCCCTTTTAAATTCATCTGAAAGATAAAAAATACACACACATATTATATTTTTAATGGATTAACGGAAAGAACCTAGATCCTATATACATATAATTATATATATAAAATAATATAACTATATATATAATATAACTAGGTATATGAAAAACGTCAGTGGCGATGATTCGATTACAAATAATTGTTCAGACATTTTTTTCTGTGAATCCGTTAAAACTCTACTGCTATAATATCTAAGCGAAACGAAACGTTTCATGGTGCAGAAAAGTATTGGACTTATACTTTGTTATGTTTGTTGTTGTATATCTTTATATATATTATAATAATATACTGTGTACTACCTATATAGTCAGTACTCAGTAGTCATATTTATTAGTACGCACTTAACAAATCCGTAGTGCACACTTTCAATTTGGGACTAAACACTCTGTGTCGGAGTTCACTAAACAAATGGGGGCTGTAAAACTTATACCTACAATTATTTATTGAGTTTAAGAGTTGCTGTTTTAATGACACTGTAAATGTTTTATAGTGCGTGTTCATTTTCAAACGATTCGGTATTGGACGCTGTGTTATTTTAAACATACGAACGACTAATCTGCTCCAAATTACACATTTCACATCGCCACTTCCGATGGTGGATCGAATAAGTGTCTGCAATATATAGGTACGCTATTGAATGGTCTAAATCGGGATTTCTTAACAGGTGGCCCTTGGACCTCCTAGTGAGTGTACAGGTGCTTACTCGAGGGATCCCCAAGAACAAATGCTCCTCCGAAAAGCTTTTTTGAAATAGTAAACTCATACTATTCAACGAGTCAATATAAATTGAGAATTGTTGTAAGTAAAATTGAACTTCTTAATATTGTATTTACTTTTTATTTATAACGTATAAGTAATACCTAGGTATATACATTTTTCATATTCATTCTACATAACTACCTATTTAAAAACAGAAGTATGTATATTGTATAACCATTATACTATCCTTTTAGTTTGGACTTCAACGCTTTTAATGATTATGTAATCGATTTAAGATTAAAATAAATGGCACACACATATTTATAATGGGATGGGGATTAGGGTGGATATACTTAACTAGGGTCTATCTACTAGAAAAAGTTAAGAACACTTAGTCTAAAATCTAAATAATCAATAGCAGTCTCAACTCAAAATTAAGACAATTGACAATAAAATATAATAGGTATCAAATCCGTTCGGAAATTGATATTGGCCAATATAATAAATACATTTTTTTTTTAATAATTCATTGTTCAACACTGATGTGTAACTGTATTGCCTGTACATGACGCCGTCTTATAATTTTTTTTTTAAATAAACCATCACACTCGATAAAGCATAATGGTAGAGTTCACAGCAGAGTTTGAATGTTTGTAGAATATTTGTTTAGTAGATGATCGTTTGAAAATTAATCTCAAAAAAAAAACTCAAAACCCGTCCATAAGAAGTATGGGCTGTCATTGTATATTATATTTGAATGACCTTTAGTTAATATATGAATATTTTGAATGGATTCTAATTTCTAACGATTGAGAATGTTTAATATTAGTTGGCTACCAGTTAAGAGTAACATATTATTATTCGAGTTGGGAGAGTACCTACTTGTACTTACCTACTTTTGAGAAATAAACATTTTTTAACGAATATTGATTTTTAAATTCAGAGAATCTTTGTTTTAATAATCCTAATTTTGATAATGTTATAACTTATAAGTATTTCTTATATTATAAATGTGAAAATTAAAGTTTAATTTCTTATTAAAGTAAATCCCTAAGTAATTAATTTACGACGGATAATCGTTTAATTGCCGAATAAAATAATTACAATCGTACTGTATATTTGAAGAATTGCTGTATAGAAATGAAACTATAGCACATTTGTTAATATTGGGATTCATTTTAGTTGTAATGTACCATTATTGAAAATCATATAAATCTGACTGTAACTTAAGAGTATCTTTTTCGGAATTAATAAAATTATACAGTATAAATACACACTATATATTATTATATTTAAATAATATATTATCATAATATCATAACAGTATATACTACAATTATTTCGCCTTTTTATAACAATTGTTCAAATGTCGGATCGAAAAGTTCCCGGTGAAACGCATCAATCAAAAGCCGAAAGTCGAAACACAATATCTCCAACGTATATAATATTATTATGTACGCTTTATTATTTCTACTATAAGACCGAATTTCTTATACCGGAAAGAGATATGTAAAAGTATAGCATAATAATAATTGTATGAGCATAGTAAAAAATATAATATTATAGTATATTATGCATCGTCCGTCGTAAACTTAGGTTGTCACGTCCTGTAAAATGTATATAAATAATATTATTGTGTGTATCATATTATAAGCATATATATCGAGACGTGTGTGACGGAAATTCGAACGGAAAACACGACAATAAACATTGTATGAGTATTGTAATGTGATATATACAATATAATAATAATATTTTTATATTATTATAATCGTTTTAAGCACACGCGCGCGACCTATAATTATGGTTTTGGAAAGGTCCTTTCGCTAGATTATATATTTTTATAATATTATATTGTATTTCAACAAGACCTACGTACGACGGTCGTATAATAGTATAACTCGGCGGTGAGTGCAATTTATTTTCATCGTCTCAATGTCGTCCTTGTCCAGAAGAGTCGATCTCGTCCGGTTCCGGAACAGATCGTCCCACGTGTCCGGCGCGAAACGTCGAGCAAATAACGTATGGAAGAACGTTTTGGAAGACATTTGCGATCAGTGTTCGCTGCACGGTCTAAACCACATCATCCGGAAAGACCGGAGCCCCGTAGAAAAGTCGGTATATAATACTCGAGAAACGCAAAAAAAAAATTAATATTTAAATCAGTACTTACTAATATTATTATAACAGACGAGTGACCCAGTGATCATTCGCCAAATCTGACTACCATTACCAAATATCAGATACTGATATCGTAGTAAATAATTATTTTAATAACATGATTGTTAATATTACCATTGGTTATAATTAATCAGTACATGATATTATTATTACAAATCTATTATATTATGTCACGTCGGTTTAGTGTATAATCGTATTTTTCATGAAACGGAAACTCTTATTTTGAATATTTTTGGGTAATATTTTAAAACTTTTCTTAAAATCAAACAACAACATGATCTTATCTAGTATCTTATTAGTTATTACTTATTATACAAGTTAGTTAGTCTCTAGTCGGAGTAGTCGGACGATATGATGCGTACGCGCAATTTGGTACTATTTTGGGAGGCCTGCGAACTATAGCAGGTGACTTTGTAAAATGTACAATTTTGAATTTTAAAAACTTGTTCAAATGGTTGCAGTACATAATAATTACTGTCGAGATTGAACTACCTATATTTATATTAATATTAACCAGGGACTGGAATCTCACTGAAAAGAACCGAACCTCACCGTAACCCTTTTTTAAATTAATTGTATACCGGAACCCTCATTTAAATTTATTTAAAACCAATACTTTTACTTGACAAATTTTTTACATAGTTATTCGAACAAAAACAATGCATTTAAGTACACTTGGTAATTCGAAATTAAATTTTGGGAAAACTGGCCACTAACACTTGACAATTCGAAGTATCATTCGTTTAATGCTCGGAAATTCGAAGTATATTCACCAAATGTATTGGTTTAAAAAACAAAATTTTTTTCTTAACTCTCTATAATTCGAATTTTTTTTTGCCCTCTCGTTATTTCGAACTACTCAACAATTCGAACTCTCGGTAATTCGAAGTTTTTCAACAGTCCCGTCAATTTCGAATTATCGAGAGTCGACTGTAGTTAAAAACCCGGTAACAATTTTTTTATTTTTTAAGAACCAAAAAGAAACCGAAAGCTAAATGTTAGTTTTTCTGGGAACCGAACAGGAACTGGAACTGAAATTTTAATTTTTCTGGGAACCGAATAGGAACCGAAATCGAAATTTTAGTTTTGCTGGGAACCGTATAGGAACCGGAAACGTAAAAATCATCAAGGCTCCAGTCCCTGATATTAACTACCTATATTCAAACACTTATATAATTTGAAATACAATTATAATTGTATGTTGTATTTAGAATTTATACTGGGTAGTTTTAAATGTATTATATGTATCTTGTTCTTAAATTGTACATACTATTAATTATATTTAATACTATATTATTATTAATTATTAGTCTTAAAGTTATATTAATTTTTACTTCGATTAGCATTACATTTGTATATACATTACTTAAAATGTATAAAGATAAAAAAAAATTTAAAAAAAAAATAAAAGTTTTAAATTAAATAATTAGATATTTATGTAGGAACTATTTATTATTATGTACCTATCTATTTAGTATTCATTTTTTTTTTTTTTTAAATAATCTAAGTAAATACGAAATAGGTACATTTTATTTTTCGCACCAAACCTATTACCACTGATTAAGATTTAAGACACATTTCATTCGTTTCAATACAAGGACTTAGGGCCGGTTGAATAAATGTTTTATAATTCAGACTAGGTCAACGTTTTTGGAAAAAATTAAAACAATTAGGCTCTTGTACAACAACCATCAATTTATCGAAAATACTTGAACAATTTAAAATTTATTTTTATTTAATAATGTAAGTTTTCTTTCGAGTGTATCTGTATAATATTCTGTATTATTTTGGGAATTAATCATTAAAAACAAATGTATTTTGTATTTTAAGACAATTTTTGAAAGTAGGTATTTCTTATGTTGTACAATGCACGAGCGTTGATACCTATCGATATTTCTTGAAAACAATTTCACATCCCTAGGTACTCGCTTCACGTTTATTGGGTCTGTATTTTATACAAACTATAATATTACTAACGGTGTGTCGGTGTACATAACCATATTAGTTATTTTAGTTATTTAAGTAAAAGTTATGAAAAAAAAAAAACAATACTATCGATATTAATACATACATTTCTCTTTATTAATCTAAAATATAAATAACATAACAACTAATCTAAGAATTGTCTTTAACCGGACGGATTCAAGCAAATCATCGAGTAGAAACGCTGGTTATTGTAAATCAGGGAATGTCCAGCTCATAGACATACTGCACGAAAGACGAAGAGAGGACATTTTTCGGTGGTCTGTAGGACTAGGACCTCCGGGCGGCCACCGAGCCACACCCGCAGGGGCTCTCGTTAGGTCACGACAACGGCGCCAGGTGCACTACAACGAGCGACTGACTCAAGCCGGCAGTACTCTGGAGAGGTGGGTGCTCTGGTGCTCGACGGCGATTACTATGGCATACAGAGGACGCAGCAGCCTGCACGGGATCGGGAAGCGGCAAGCAGAGGACGAGTCTGGAATCAGCCTTTGCCGGAGGACTACCACCATGGAAATGCTGCCCACGTCTGTTCTAGGGGCAGGCAGGCTGTCGGCCTGGCGGTTCGGACTAGAAAGCTTTCGGCTGCAGATGAAGGTGCAGGCCGTTCGTGCCGGAACCGTGGTGATGGTGACATGAGGAGGAGGAGGATCTTTTGGAGATGACGGTGGGTAAGAAGTTTGACGGCGAAGACAGTTCCAAGAAGCGCAAAAGGGTTTCAAGAATTTTGGCGAGCATATCACTTGGAAGCTCGCCAGTCAATCGTATATGTATGCTAAAATTGTAATTTAACGGAAAATTATTAACAATTTCGATTTTTTCAAGACATATTATTGTTATATAATATGGGTATATTATATAATAGGTGGTAACAATCTTAGGGCCGATTTCATCAACACAGTTAATCACGGTTAAAGTTAACCAGAGTTTAATCGGTCGAATTTGGCCGGTTAAATATCTGTTATCAGCCGATTAAGCGTAATCGAAGTTTAATCGTGATTAATTGTGTTGTTGAGATCGGCCCTTAGTTCATAAATACTGTATACTTATAACTTACGTTATAATATATGTTGTCATTCTGTTTGGTAATTGGTAATGTGGTGAGTGTACACTATACAGGTATACTACACAATATAATAAGTTATTAAGTAATAGTAATAACTATAATATTATTCAGTATTACTGAATTACAACAAATTACTATAATATACCACCTACCATCACAAAATAAACCTGGCCCATATGATTTTACAATGTAATTAATTTACAATATATTACACAAAGTGTAAAATAAGAGTTTTCATTTCATGAAGTAGGTAATACTAGGTATATAAATATTATGTTAATTTCATGAAATTTCAAATCGATATCCATTTCGTTAAAAATACGATTAGAATAAGACCCTACCTAAGTGGATGCAATATATATATAATTTTAAAAGGACGCGTATTTAAACGATAGGATTGTTTGAGATGCACTTAATGGCATTTACTCTGCGCATCGCAATTTTCAGAGCGTTTTGGACGATGACCGTCATGTTCGCAGTCCTGTTCGCCACTTACGCAATCGTCGAGTCGTGGAAGACGTACAGCGAAGGTTCGATCGACACGGTGGTCGAGACGACTTTTTTAAGCTACTCCAAAATAGCGTTTCCGATGGTGGTGATATGTGACAGTTCGAGGGTAGACTGGGAACGCGTAATGCGATTAACGGCAAGGTAATATTATCAATAAGGTAATTCGTAATAAGTTAGGTTATAACTTAAATATTTTGTATTATACATGCAACACGTTATATTTTATCCTAGTATTCATGCATACCAATCAACCGTTTCACGTGTTCAAGATAAATAATTTTCTTTTTCTTAAACCATCTCTTGCACGAAGAGTATAAGATAAATATAAATTAGGTAGGTACTATTGTGTATTATACCTTATAATGACGAGAGCAAACAACATTTTAAAAAGTTGCATGAAAAATTATACTGAATCGTGTACTCGTGTACACGTGTATGTGTATTTATGTATAAATAGTAGAGGACTCTCCTAGATGTTGGTCGATCTGTTCGAAGTTAGACAAGTTGCATATAATTAATCCGAACACCAAAGGAATGTATAGGTATAATATAGGTACGAAACTACGAGCTCCACTAAAAATTACATCAAAATGTTTCCGGTTTTATTATTAAATTTTTATTTTGTCTGTTGTCTATTTTATCGACGAAGAATACATCCATATTTTATACTTGCTTACTAGTTTTAATAAACTAATTAATAGTAAACGGATTTAAGCTGGAACCGATAAGACTTAATTTAAATAAAAACTTGAATAATAGGTAGGTATATAAATAAAAGGTTATTTCAGTTTGACATAAACTAAAAAGTAATTATTTGATTTGACATTTAATTAAAATGCTGGGCTCGGGTTCAGTCTGTTATTAAATGCAATATTTTTGGCTCGATGTTAAATTGAACTTTGGGTTCGAGAATTTGATATACACTGAATTGTACGGTTTGGCATACGATTAAAAAGTTCGGTTCTAGACAACAGTTTTAAGTTTGACCATCCTCTAATAAATAATTATTGCTATCATTAAGATTCCAAAAATTTTAGTAATTAACCGTATGACGATATATGTATAGAGACGTGCCGGGGACCGATCCAGACCTGTTGCCCGCCGTGAGGAAAGTGTTGAAAACGTTCTCGGTGATTTCGTACGGAGATTTCGACGATTTCGACGAGTTATGGAATGTGACGGAACTTCCAAAGCTCAACCATCTGAACCTAACCCAACTATTATTGAAGGTTAATAACACAACGTCGCTTTATACGTTTTCTAAATCCTGTTTCAAACTGCATATGTACCGTGTTGTGTACTTGTGTGGTTGTTGTACATATTATTTTGATGCGTAGATAACAAAATAGTTGTAACATATGTTATCTGCCTACTATAATAGTTGAATACATCAATGTCTGCACGACGCGGTATATAGTGTTAACCTGGATTTACATACTAATATTATATTATTGTACTATAATATTGTGATTTCTTCTTTAGATTTTATTTTATAATACGTATTCCAACATTTTAATCTCTAATAATAATACTATATTACTATAATATTACATAAACATTAAACTTGGATGTCGATATTTTAAATATTATCAGTACAATTTTACGATATTATTTGTTAGATGGATGTTATTGTTTTATAGTCACTATTATTACATGACCTATTACACAGGTGATGAGGCCGTGTAATGAAGTGTTTTGCTGTGGAGGTTGTTGGTGGAAATTCAAACAGGTAAACTGTTGCGACATATTCGAGTTGCAGCGCACCGAATTCGGCCTTTGCCATTCGTTCAATTCTGATTTCTCAGAGTACGGCAGACCGTGAGTGTCGAGATCTGTATAGTAATAATAGGTATTGCAAAAATATAGTTTATTATTGGCACATTGTTCCCATGCAGGAGAGTGGGTGTGACCTCAGGTCTTATCGGGGAGTTTTGGCAAACCGAGTCCGGCGAATTCCGACCTAGGACGACAGACAATAAGGGTCAATGGTCGGGCGTCAGGTAAACGGGTCGTAAGACACTTCATTGGTCAATGTAATTATTTAATAATATTTAAAAAAAATTGAATTTCAATAAAACAAAAAAAATTATATTCTTTATTAACAATAGTTTGTTCTTACCTTCCGGTAATTTTAACTTCAAACACTTAGCTATATAAAACGATATCACAATTTTTAGAGCCATTTTTTTTTATATAGGTAATGAGCTTTTTTTTATACGGAGTTTGGAGGATTTTTTTTTGTTGGGATTTTAATGAAGATGCAAAATATGATAAAAGGTATATAATTATCAATATTGTGTACCTATTTTGTTTGTTTCGTTTTACTTCCGTATAATTACTTCGATGGAAAATGTGAAAAAATTGTTGCTGACACAGAATGCACATATCGACAATGTCACCGGAACAAGTAGCTCCTAATGTAAACGCCAAACCGTCAATTCGGGTAAACGAGTATATTATTATTATTGCATTGGTATAAAATGAAGACCACTATAGACGCATGCAAAATTATCAAGCACACGGAAAATACTATAGACTTATGCATAATATTTATAGTTTTGTAAGGTATTATAACAATTATTAGTAATATTATTCATAAGCGAAATTATATTGAAGGTCCCTTTGAAGGGACTCAATTTTTAAAAAGAACGTATCATAAAATACAAATTATAATTCAATAACACATAATAACAAACTCATATTATGTGTGGTAAAATATTACAATAATTGTTTAAAAAAATGTTGTTTTTTTTCAATTATAGACAGAACTCAATTGAAATCCCATTGAAATATTTATCATTAAAATAAAACTCGATATCTTGAACTTGTCCCCCTTGAGTTTCGACATAACGAGTTTACTGTAATTAATACAGTCGACGCTTTGCATGTTTCGTTTAAACTGTAAAAGACCGTTTGAAAATATTTAATTTGTTTCGTTTGGAGTGTTCGTACTGAATGTTCAACTTCTACAACTGCAGTATAATAGGTATTAATTATGTTTTTATAATATTTCCACGGTATAAACCATCAACTGGGTTACCGCTTAGAACAGATATTGATGGGTGAACCCAAAGGCGCTCCTCTCGGCTCGGACATGGTCGTGATGGCTGGGAACTTCGGGAACATAAATGTGTGGGGAGATCGGATATACAACACGCATAGGACCAAGAGACTGAGCCCGAAGCAGAGAAACTGTTACTTCGGCGATGAAAGTCCAACCGGGATGGGCACGAATTATTACCTGAGACGAAATTGCAGAATGGCTTGTTATATGTTCCACATGGTTAATGAATGTGGCTGTTATCTGGAGGCCATGTTCGGCCTCATGAAAAGTAAGACTCAACTATTTTACGACAGGTAGCTGGGAAAAAATAACCTACCCGCCTCACAGCTATCGAACAATTACGTTCGATAGGTGATTTGGTCGTTAATACCTTTTATCTCTTTGTTCGAACGATTGGGACAACTTAAAATTCACAAAAAACTCACCACTTGTGCGCTTAACCAAAAAAACGAATGCATACGAATTGCGTCGTGGGGCAACTATACCTTCCGAACTGCGGTTCCGGTTATTTTTTTGGGGTCATACTTGCGTCCCTATTTTTTTTTCATATTTTTAAACAGTCAAATTGTGCATCGTATATAACTAAACAATATTTTTATTTTTATTTTGCCCTGGACTTCTTAGTCTCGTGCCTTTCAATGTCCCTCGTGTTAACCTCCCTACCTACCGTTAAGATTAGTCTTTTTTTTAAATTAATTAATTTAAACACTTTTTTTTTATATATGTAAGAAAACGACTCGTTGCGGCCTTGTATCGCGGAGGATTTACTGTGTCTGTCCAAGAATAACCGTAAGAATAACTTTTATGTTGCGGGCTCGATGAAACCATATTCGATATAATAATATTATTATTATACAATACGGGTGTTTCAGAACATTTCAACAATTACATACCATTCGTTCAGACGTCATTTTTCACGAAAGATAAGCCCGGATTAAAATGCGAATGCATGCCGGATTGCGTCCACCAAATGTACATACCCGAACTGACCATTGCCGAACAGACGGTTTCCTCACTGGAGTAAGTCGATATTTTATAATAGCCTGCAAATATAACCTTAATAGTTAATCACAATTCACATTGTTGGTCGTCGTTGTTTCAGGAATTCCTCTTCTTCCATACTCATTGACTTACACTTCAAACAGAGCGCGTGCATACTGTACAGATCGGACTTGATCCTCGGATGGCTCGACTTGTTGGGTACGTACCTTTTTATTATTATAATCTTTTAATAATATAATCATTATGAGAGACGACGGCATTTTACGTCGACACATATTGCGAAAAGTTCACAAAAGGAATGTATTTAAAATTGATTTTTTAGATACCCAAAATAAATAAAATGTATGTACCAATTTATTTTATTTTACGTGATTGAATTTCAAATATAAAATATATTATAATACAAAAATAAAAAGTATTTTAAAATTATTATTTGATTTTAAATACAGTTACTTGGAGAAAGCATTTAAAATACGTATTGGAGTAGATACTTAAAAAGTATTCCAACAAATTGTACTCAAGCACTTTACGATATTGAATGATGCACTGATTATCATTTGGGAATCATAGTTTTTTGTGCACAAACATGTTTGTAATCCGTTCACAGTGTCATTTGGCGGTTGTGCTGGTCTGTTCCTTGGCGGTTCGCTGTTAAGTTTTATTGAACTGATATATTTCTTGACATGGAGGGTTTACTATCATTGGCGCCGGACACCACCAAAATCGGTTAAATCCAAAAGAAACAAAAAACAAAAAGGACATCGAATCATCGTAACGGACACTTGGACAACGGACGATTTTGCGATCAGTAAAGCGTGAATGCCATAATAATATATATATCTTCCAAGTGTAATTTTACTAGTATTAATTTATGAGTTATAGTCATCTATCTTTAGACAATAATATTATATTGATGTATTATCAGTACCTAGTACCTATTTTTGTTCACTGGCTGATCCTGAGCTCTTAGTAAAAAATGGGAACTTTAAAAAAAAATTATGATTGTTCAACTCGGACGTAACTCGCTATAAGTGCAACTCAACCTCCTTGGTAAGCAATATGCGAATATTTGGTTTGATTCATGATATTGTACCTGATCTAGCTGCCCGAATAACCAATGACAACCAATATAGAAAAACAAAAAAAAAAATACTAATTTCTACTATTACTATTATAATCTGCAACTAATGGCAACCATTTATGAACAAATACACAGCTACACTGTTAATAATTTATGTACCTATATAATTATATTGAATAGTTTCGAAACAAAATTACATTCATTTTATGTACATTTCGACTACAATTTGTTGTAGAATCGTTTTTCTTATACAATATGATATTATATTATTGAATTAAAATTTAACACCATCCATTACAGTGACCCACTTGTAACCTACTGTACAGCAGAGCGACATCCACTTACCCACCTTTTTTTGTATTTTATTGTAGTAACACAAATATATGATCTATGAGCTCGACGCAGTTGCTTGTGATAAAATATTATTTTACTCTAATTGCGCCTATGACTACAAAGTATAGTATATTATTCATCTGCTATATGCAGAAACCCCGCACATGAAACGTCGTTAAATTTGTAAATTTGTATTCACTAAAAATCAGATAACTTACCTACCTGAAATACATAAAACCAATAAAATGGCTACTTCTGTAAGGAAGACAAAGAGATTTTTTCAATGACCTTTTATAATATTATAGCAAAATAATAAAAAAAAAGTATAGTACGTATTTCGTGATCAGTTTCCCCCATTACACAATTTAAAGATTTTGACCCAACCAGTAATATATATACATAATATATTATTATTATATTATAATAGTGTTGACGTAGACGTAAATGGGATGGGGCTTACGGAGGTTTAGGCTTAACTGATCCATTTCGAGTACGACATAATAGACATTTGATCCATTTAAGACTTTAATATTTTCCCTGATTGTCGTCTGTCGAGACAAATAGTGTACCATAGTGTCTAAATATTTTTAAAAAATACGTCAAGTAGGTATTTGTGGGTTTGAATTTGATGAAAAATGATTCTCGGTGAAGACCTTTTCGGTAACCAAGGTCCACATATAAATAATTTAAATAATACCTATACTTTTTTTTACAATCGAAAAAAAACAATCCATACTGAAATAATAATTATAATTAACGTTCAGAAAACTCATAAAAACCATTATACCCAAATATACCGGGGTATTGGTACCTATATATAATATTATGTTAACATAATGTTATAAATTATAATAAAATACATATGATGATATGAAACATGACATTCTATTCACATTGTTGTTCATATTATTTTGTTACAAATATAATAATATGATATTATATATAGTATACTTACGATCTCCGGACTGTCCTTTTAAGTAATACATAAATATATGTTAAATAATAAAATTCACTCGTCCACGCCACTCACATTATGTTGTGTATAAAACTATTATTATTATTATTATATAACGGCGACATGTAATAAGTAGTGTGACAGGTGACATTGTAATAATATAATATTATATAGAAGTGTAAATATAAAAACTAGGTAGAATTTATGCATTGTGAGTTTTGTACTTTTGTGATTTAGTCCTGTAGACACGACATAATGTGGTAAGTGTTTTGATAATTGTTTTGACAACAGTCTTCCGGCATACGATACATCGATTGGACAGATAATAATACACGATTAACACGATTCGAAAATAAAAGCTAGTCTATAGAGTATAGATTATACTAAGTTGTGTTTCACAATCCAGCATGTAAGTAAAATTTTGCTAATTTTTCAAATTTAAGGGTTTTTGTATTCAATGTGCTTATTTTCGGATTTCTTCCACCTGAATTTGATTTTATATTTTGTTCCGGTGCTAAAATTAAATTTTTTTTAAAATTAAAAAGTATTATTATTTATTTTATTTAACTTTTGATTCTATATAATCATTTATTTAATATCACGTTCTAAGTAAATTTTGGGCTAAATTTATTTTAAAATAATCATTTCATTTTACCCTTCGATCTTAAAATATCATATTTCACCACATGAGAACTAATTTTTCTTTAGGAATATTTTGATAATTATTAGGGAATAATATAATGATGTAATAATATATGAGTATACATATTATATTTTAATTTGTATTTAGAGCTTATTATCATCTCTGGTAGTCCGGTCTGATCATCAATTTATAGTGGTGTTTGTGTGGTAATGTCATATTCCGGAAAAACATTGTCGTCGTCCGTATCCAGGAGAGTGGCAGACGTCAGATTTCGGAACAAATCGTCTCAGCTCGGTGGACCTGACACCGATCGCCGGGCTAACGTGTGGAAAAAAATTTTGGACGACGTTTGTGATCAGTGTTCGCTGCACGGCCTCAACCACATCGTCGGAAAGGACAGGAGCACCGGAGAGAAGTCGGTATCCACGAGAAAAACGGAAAATATTATAATCAGTATTAAAATATAGACATAATATGCTTTTATACATATTGAGTATAGCTAGGCCGCGGATTTATAATGTCCTAAGAAACAAGAGTAATACCTCTAAAAAGTACGACTACATGCCCCCAATAATATTACAAAACTTTATAAAATGGTATTGCGGCCCCTGAGATTTTATTAAATTTACAATGATACACTACAATTATTTAATATTTAAATACGCTATAAGTATCTGTACAACACATTTTTCTTTAATTTCACCTTAATTTTTTTACCTACCGTTAAAAATAAAAATCCCTTGTCTGTAATTCAGTTGAAAGAACTTTCAGGTAATTACTTAATTATTTACCAACTTACTACTGGGGGGGGGCTTCATTATTTACGTTAGTAAATAATTTAAATGAAAAAATATTTTTTTTAAAATTTTTATAGAATCTACCTACTTTTACTTTTAAACATGTTCACACTTTCATCTTTGAAAAAAAATGTTTTAAACTTTTAAATGAGTACGGAGCTAAACTGCATTTTTCTTTTGAATGTTGCACAGTGCACACGTTCAGTAGCGGCGCGAAATTGTGGAGACTCTGAAGTATATTGTATATTTTAAATATTTTTACCACCGTTCCCTTCATTGGACGAAAATTGGCAGCAGGGGACATTAATAATTATTAATTATAATATTTACTATGATATTTGTGTTGATGTCTTACGACTATATATTATATATATTTATACACCCACCCACCCATTTCGGACATGAAACAATTGCTTCAAATAATTCTATATCCCGCATTCCAGTCGTCCACTGCACACGTTGTATACATTTTTTTCTTAAAAACATGTCCGGGCCGTGGTGTTTCAGAACCTTCTGGTCGGTAACTGTAATATGCGCCGTGCTGTTTGCCACTTACGCGATCGTCGAATCGTGGAAGTCGTACAACAAGAGCATGATCGACACGGTGGTCGAGACGACTTTTTTAAGTTACGCCGACATAGCGTTTCCGATGGTGGTGGTATGTGACAATTCAAGGGTGGACTGGCAACGGGTCATGCGGTTAACCGCACGGTAATATAAAATAGGGCATTATAGATTAAGCGAAATATATTATTATTATAGTATTAACGTTTTTTACATAAAAAAAACTACTATCAAACCTCTGTTTATTGTTGTAATATAACTTAAAGCTGTGTACGAGTTATAAGTTTCTGACCAGTAGGGATCAAAATGCCGGAAAATTTCGGAAAAAACTGTTTTTTTCCCAGAGCCTTGGAAAACGAGGAAAAATTAGAGAATATTAAAATATTACATTTCCGAAAAAACCGACGTTTTCGGAAAAATAAAAAAAATAAACAGAATTTTTGGAAAATTAAAAAATTGTATTTACGTTTAAAAATTAAAATATTCTATGTAAAAAAAAAAAAAAAATGTTAAAAACAGATAAGGAAACCTCTCATTGTAATTTCACATTTGCCAATACGGTTATCAATGTGTTATATTTTATTATAACATTTAAAATTAAACTATTAAAAATATTAATACGGATATTAAACTTAAGTGAGTTGGTAAAAATAAAATAATATTAATAACTAATAAGAAATAACTACATAGTAAACACTTAATAGTTAGTAGGTACTTTAGTAGTTAATATTATAAATTATAATTATGTATAAATCAAGTATAGAATCTTCTAGATTTATCCACTATAGCCTTTAATGTATAATATGTATGTAATATGATTATCAACTATCATTATTTATTAGATTGTTTCCACTATACTTACATTACTTTTTCAGTTCTATAGAAATATAAACCATTTTTTCATGCAATTTTTCAGAAAAAAAAACCAGTTTTTTCGTCAAAACCAATTTTTCCAGAAATTTTAAATGAAACCAAATTTCCCCAATTTTTCCGAAAAAAAACGGGAAAAAACCCTGGTTTTTTTCGGAAAACCGTTTTTTCTGAAATTTTGATCAATATGTATACGTTTATGCCACTACGGGTGTTGGCTGACAATGGGTTGATTCGATAAAGTCAAAAACTTTTAGTGCATTAAGAGGGCAATCTATTAACCGACACTATAGATAACTTTAAGTCAATAGAAAACATGCACCTTAAAAAAAAAATTATTATCATTTTTCTCATTTATGACAAAATTAATTAATTTCAATTTCTTATTCAATATTACCAAAGCAGAATATTTTTCACAGTATTTCGATGCATCAAATTCGAATTTTCTACGAGCACTTTAAGAGATGACTTATATAATAGTAAGTAATTAATGTTTTGATAAGCGGAGCGGAGTACCTCCTACAATATTATACCAAGCAAAATGTTGGTAAATCACTATTATAGTGACTACCTACTCTTCTTATTTGAACTTTAAATACTTATAACTAATATAAACTAGGTACTTGTTCGAAATTCAATTTTTACAAATCGAAAGCCTCTGAATAATTTTATATTTTGTTATATGAATTAAAAAATGTATATTGTCATTACATGGCTAAAAATTATTTGAAATTCGACTAAATAGAGTCGGATTTTTGGTATTCAGACCAGTGAGTTCTCATGGTACCATACCCCCACCTTTTTCTAAAATGATACATGGTTAATTCCGACTGCTTCCATAAAAAAGGTATGACCCATGTGCGACCCAAACTAAATTTTTTTAGTTTATTGCACAGCCCATGTGAGTCCTGGTTTTAATGAATTTCATTCCCCAGAGTGCACCACGAGGAGGTGAATTGGATACCCCAAACATTTGTTTTCATGATTTTTATTTTTTAAATGTTATATTATATTCAATTATTTTTGTTAATTTAAAATTTGAATAGGTAGGTACATATTATTTTATTTATTGATTCTTAAATTACATCTTTAAGAAATAAATTACTTATTATTAATGCACATGGGCAATTAAAACCAGACACACTCGGACGACGCCTGTTGTACTAATAACTGATAAGAAACGTATTTTGATTATTTGGCAGTATATTCCAATTCCAATACACCGTCTACTAAACTATTTATTTGTCTAGTAAACATTCATATAGTTAAGTATTGGATAAGTATACAATGTGTATTCTATTAACTCAGAACGTGTTTGGAATTTGGATGTTTATGGAACAACTTACATAAATAAATATATTGTCGTAGTTTGTTTTTCTGGTTAATTGGTAACAGACAGCCGTATACTTTTCAAAAATAAAATTCGATACATCTACGATTAAACTCTCCCCCTTCTCCCTAAGTAATACTTTATACAATATTATATTTAAGACGAAACAATAGTACTATTATAAATAATAATAAAACTACTATGAATATTCATTTAAAATGACAAGCTAATAAAGGTCATTGCAGTTGGAATATTAACATCATTTATAACCATTATAGGTGACAGTGTGACACGGTTATCTGCATAAAGCATAAACATTATACTAATTATTACCGTGTGATAATAAATGTCGGTAACAAGCTTAACCATAGTATAGGATGTTCCATAAAGAATGTACTGTAGATTTCAAAACGGTATATTTA